TTAAGATAAGACTAAGCTGACAGGTGCTCATGCTGGAGGAAGAACAGTTCTCCTTAATTCAGTTCCTCAGATGGTGCCAGAATCATTAAGATGCTGAAATTCGCATTATCAGTTTTCTGCAAACATATAACACCATGTTAGATCTTCCTCAACTAGTTTTACACTAGGGATACTGGAGAGATATGCCATTGTCTTGTTTTTTAGTTTTGTATTAGTTATCTGTAACTGCATTAAAAATTATCCCCAAATTGAGCACTTAAACAACCATTATCTTGGTTTGTCCCTCACAAGGCTGCAATCAAGGTGTTGGCTGCAGTCACCTCAGAGTTCCACTGGGGTGGATCCTCTTCCAAACTCAAGTACTGTTGGCAGGATTCAGTTGGAATGAGGGCCTCAGTCCCATGTTAGCTGTTGGCTGGAAATCTCTGCTTCTTGTCACATGGGCCTTTCCAAAGAGCACCTCACCTTCCAAGCAGGAAAGCACAAAAAGAAGAGTGGACAAGGAGACAGAAGCCAGAGCCTTTCTGCCACCAAACCTCAGGAGAGCTCTCTCCCTTCCGCCATGTTCTACTCTTTAGAAGCAGGTCACTAAGTCCAGCTCATACAAGAGGTTATACAAGAGTGCACACCAGCGGGCAGACATCACTGGGAACCATCTCAGAAGCTGCCTTACCACTAGCTTTGTTGTTTCAGATGAAAAGCTCATGACTGAGGAAGTAAGACTGCCTGCACACGATGCATCTGAAAGGCACAGGGCTACATATCAGCACGAGCTGCACATTTACTATCTGTTCCTTATGCTCATTCTCAGAGCAAAATTTTCTTATGAGGTATATACACAACAGTGATAAAATAACTGAAGGGCACAGAAAGAACTCCCCTACCATTAACATGATTATTTTTTGGTTCAAAATTTGTGAATGCTTCTTTGAAACACCACTTAGTAGGACCAATATTATCAATGGAAGAATAAAACAAGATTTGAAAGGCATGGTTGAATACCTAGATTTCTGATAAAAATTCCCTTTAGCAATCAACAACTACTCAAAATGTTTGAACACTTTGCAGCTCTTTGGGAAGCCAAGGGAGGAGGATTGCTTGAGCCCAGGAGTTTGAGACCTCATCTCTAAAAACAAAACCAAAAAAAAACCCCCAAAATAATCAGATGGGCCAGGAGCAGTGGCTCACACCTGTTATTCCAGTATTTGGGAGGCCTAGGTAGGCAGACTGCTGGAGCTCAGGAGTTCCAGACCAGCCTGGCAACATGGCAAAACCGTCTCTACAAAAACAATTTAAAACAATTAGTCAGGCATGGTGGTGCATGCCTGAAGTCCCAGCTACCTGGCAGGCTAAGGTGGGAAGATCTCCTGAGCCCAGACGGTCAAGGCTGCAGTGAGCCAAGATTGTGCCACCGCACTCCAGCCTGGCTGACAAAGCAAGACTCTGCCTCAAAAGGAAAAAAACGTTTCAATGAAATATGTACTGGTGGCTGGGCGCAGTGGCTCACCCCTGTAATCCCGGCACTTTGGGAGGCCAAGGAGGGCGGATCACCTGAGGTTGGGAGTTTGAGACCAGCCTGACCAACATTATGGAGTATGACAAAGCTTGGGTAAGAGGACTTTTAAATAAGACCTAGTTTTCGATCCTCAGTAACACAAAGTAAAATTGCTCTGTAACTATTTACAGAAACAGACCTGAGAGAACTTTCTTCCTTGGTGCCCTGACCTGTGCCTGATGCTTGTGAAACTCACAGGAGTTTCCGCCTTCTTCTGCTCCCCACTTCGCGTTCATCTGTGTTGAGGTCTATTCATCCACGTTTCCAGGATGGTGGAAACTGTGTACCCTGTGCTATGGCTGGTGCACTGTGTACCCTGAAAGGACAGCTTGGCTCTGCAGCCTGCTCTATGCCATTCCTCATTGCTTCTTCTTCAGTGACCAAATGCAGCAGACTGGATCCTGCAGGCAACCTGGGACAAAATGTATTTTTTTCTTTAGTTCAGCTTCATTTGAAGATTAATTAATTTGAAAACATAAAATGGTTCCAAATATAAAAAAATAAGGTTGCACTTATTATCATAACTATGATCATTTTATTTTGGAAGCTACTAGATAGGAAATACCAACTTTTGCCCTGAAAAAAATACAGATTCTGTGGGCACAAGTGATCTCAATTCTTTGCCACTTCTAGACTTTAGAAATTGAGGCAAGCAAGGAAATCAGAACAAGTTTTTAATTCTAGTTCGAGAGTCAAAATTCTTTTCTGTAAAATGTGAAATCTAGTATTAAGCAGATGAGAATTCTCATGTGGCCTGGAAGTTCATCTCTAATAAAAACTACTGCTTTAAAAAAAATTTACACTAGACAGTGCATACTAAACATGCACCCTAGTCATTAGCTTTTTAGGCTTTTGTAGTCATTAAACTACTTGCAAAAATACATTTTTAAAAAGTTAATAAAGGAAAGTAAATTTAAACATTTTTAATAATAGGAAAGGAAAATAAAGTGAATTATTAGCTGAGGGATATAGAACATAAGTGGTTTTGCAGAAAGCTAAAAAAGATATACAAGATAATGTCATTTACAGTGGCTCGAACTCCAATCATTCTCCAGACTCAAGAGATATGGCACACAGATGTTTGATTTCTAGAATGTACATTGTCTCCTTTAGATTTAAAAAAGATCAGAAAAGCAAAAACATGGGAGTTCTTCCTGCCTAGTATCAAGCCTGTATCCTGTTAACAAACATTGCTTAGTAAGAATTCACAGGTGCCAAGGAATCATGGCAACAAAACTGTAGAACACAGTGTTACATACATTTAAAGAAAAGGGAAAATATAATGCATTGAAAAAATTATAAAATAAATAACATTTCAAATCAGAATGACTGACAAGCTTACATGGAACATCTGGGCTGCTATTTAGAAGTGCTTGACTTTTAAAACCTACAACTGACAAAAGCAGGAGACAGCAAAAAAAAGAAGGTACTGGGCTAGTTCTTGAGACACTGGTGCTCACTTCACTTCTGTGGGTTTCAGTCTTCTCATTAATACACGTGGACAAGACAGTCTTTCTTGGGTCTTCAAAAACACCAGAAACTCAATGATCCTTCTGGGTCTAATCAGTGTGATTCAAGGCATATTATTTTTAATACTTGTAATAAAGTGACATGAACATAGCGAACTCCATTTTGCAATAAGAGCATAATCTCCTTTGACTGAGTATTCCTGAAATCACAACCAGGCTTCTCTCATCCCGTTATCAGCGAACACACTCCTGAAACAGGGAAGCATCCTTCTCATCAGACATTGGGAGACCAATACAAATGTTCAGAGGCAGACTTTCAGGAGGTTTTTTTTAGTCTAACAATTCTATGAAACATGACAAAGACACTGATATAAGAGCTGCTGGGTTAAAGGAGTCTTTTAAGTCTCATTTGTGATGTGAAATGTGAACATTCTTTGCTTTTTGCTAAACCTTTAGACTGATGCTCTCCCCACACACCTTATTCCTACATACTTTAGATGTTGGGATTAGCAGGTTTCCTGCAATAGACCTGCGGGCACTTGGGGGATGACATGGTGAACTGCAGATGGAAGATAACAGTGACAATACTATACAGGTATGCTTAATGCTGTTTCTGAATTGAAGATATTTACCCCCTCCAGATTTGCAATTTGTGTTAGACGTGTTTAACACTGGGGCACTGTATGGGGCACTGTGTGACAGTTAATACTGTGTAATGAAGTCCACAAGATGGCTAAATTTCACATCTTCTGTTACTAAGTTGTATGGCTTTCATTTTAGTAAGCAATTTGTAAAGTTTTCTCACTGATTTCAAAGATTAAAGGCTGTATATACAGCATTAGCATTATTCCATATATAATGCCTAAGATTTATTAGTTCCATTCTCACTTCTTCCAAAAGCATAGACAAATTTAAGAAATAAATGAGATCTAATGCCCATCTATGAGTTAATGAAGGCATAACACGTGACAGTCTAAGGCTGGTTTAGCTATTGTTCATCTGTTCTTTAGTTCTATCTCTGAAAATATAGACTGACCCCCCCACACCAATGTTCCTAGACGACATTAAGTTGTGCCTTCACTGGGTTAAGAGGCACCATTATAACCTCTCTCTGCATTTTGCATCTTTTTTACGTTCTGGAGAAATGTTCCTATATAAAAACCCTCATGCTGTAGTTCTAGAGGAAACTATCCTCTGCACATAAGTTTGCTTTCTACTGTGAAAAGCAAAAACTGTATTAGCAGCCAGAAAATTCAGAACCAAATTTACTGTCTAAACTTTACTTGCTACATTGACTTGTATAAAACTATGTACTTCTGTGCTATTTTACTGTTAATATGTCTTCTTTAAAGATGGTATTTTGCAGGCCTCTTCAAGACCTTTTAAAAGAAAATAGAAATCAAATTTCAAAAATAAAAATATAGTTACAAGTGACTATAGATAACATAGTTTAGCATACTGTATTATTTGTTACTATAATCTAAAGATTAAAGATAGGCTTAACAGCTATCTTTAAAAATGAATATAATTTGACATAGAAAATATGCTAATTTCCCTTTTATCATTATGAAGAATGAGACTATAGTTGTATTATGTATTTATTATGCTGTTCAAATGTTGGCTGGCACAAGTTACCTACTAAAATGCTTGTTCTGCATAACTACTGAAAAAACTTAGCTGTCTCTGGTATTAGTTCACTGAATATTATATGCATCATGTCTTTTTATGTTTCCAAGTTGTACCGTTAAAACAAGAAACTATGCTGACTTAAAAACATTTAAATCATGAAAATGCTATGTGTAGGCTTTTCTGTCTCCTGTATATTATCTACTTTTTTTAAGAAACAAAAGCTTTGATATAAGAAAGCATTCTGAGACAATATATGTGTATCACATTTAAAGTCACAATTTTCACCAATATGAGAGAACATATCTATGCAATATTTAAGAGTTAAGAAAATCCAGTGAAACTTCAACTTCTTATTTCATTGAGAATTTACTACCAAAATATAGAAAACAGGGATTTACTTCTTTTAAATGGTATGTCTATATTACTTACAATTTGATAAATGAGTTCCTTTCTGTACATATCTTAAGATCCACAACCTCAGTGGCATAAATAACATGATTAAAGGATCATGTACAATGTATATTTTAATATAGGATTTGCGTAGTGATTCAGAGCAATAAATATCACACAGTGAAAAATTTATCACAAACTAAATACAGTAACAAAAGGAAAGAAAGAGCTTATGTCCACATTACCAAGGTCTTTACAATAAGTTATAGTGTCCAGGTCCAACACGGCATATTTGCATACAAAGCCGCTGATGTGAACACTGAAAGGAATCTGCCCTGTAGGTCTTTCATCTTGATTTAATAAAGTTTGTACAGTATCAAATAATATCAAAAGTCTAAAAAAACACAATGAACTTTTATGTTTATAAATTATTTTTATATACCATAAAAAAAGTCAAAAGTGCAGGTTAAAAAAAAGTGGAAGTTGTTTTTCTTGAGAAGAGCTAGAAAAATGTCCTGTCCCAGGTAAAAAGCCATCTCAAGGCTCATCCAGTTTCTAAGGAATTCCCTTTAACTGGCATCCAACCTTGGTTACCATATGCGGTAAACAAAACCAATAGAATGGGAGCTATGTAACAATCTAGCAAAGAGAAACATTGCAAATAAATGTAATTATGGCCCTCTCCCAAAGTGAATGAAGTGACTGTTCACTGGAATGAATGGGCAATCAATCACTGAATGTGACCGTACTTGGGAAACTTCAAAGGCTTGCTACAAGTTTTTAATCTTTTTCACATTTTTAGTCATAGCTGGCAATGGTACATATATTCCAGGATTATGAAATTTTCTAGTATAACTGAGAAAAAATTTAATTGAAAGGTGATAAATCATATCATCTACTACTTCTCAAAGAAAATAAGGACTAAGGGCCCAGTAATTAAAAGGCAGAAGTACAGAAATTAGTCAAGAAGAAACAGATGGATGAAATACAACTGGGTCTTAATTGTCACAGTAACTAGCTGTATTTTGACACATTCAAGAACAAATGCCTATATTGAAGTATGTGGTACATTAACCACTTGTATTTATGTAAGAAACTGAAATGGTAAAACTACAAGCTTATAAAACATCAAATCTGGAGAAAAGAAAAATAAAAGGAATGTAAAGAAAAATCTTAGTTTATTGTAGGATCAAAATATTGACAGAGCTGTATCAGTCAAGAGCAGTATTCCCGTTGCTTAAACGAAAAGGCAGCCTGAGCCTGGCTCCATCCAACCACCTCTTCCAATGCTCTTTAACTGGGTGCTTTCTATAAATGACACAAAGCAATAGATGATGATTATTGTTCACACTGAATAGAGTAAGTTCCTTGATTGGTTTAACATATATAGACTGCCTGAGAGAATAAAAACATCACCATATGACAGGTTAATGGTAAATCAAGGTCTTCGCAGCAGTGATGGGAGAAAAGGGTTGGCTGCTGGAAACAGTATGGTGTCCTGGGGGCTGCATACATACATACTTAAGAATTCACATCACCTTTAGCAGAAGATTAGAAGTCAATGGATATGGATGCTTGTGCAGAATCTTCTCGCCCCCTGACATAAATTTCACAGGGAATCTCCTCCATTACTCGGTCTTCTAGGGCCTGCTCAGGGCAGTCATGTCCCTGTTTGAAAGTGTAACTACTTTTCTTGAAGGTGCTATTAAATGTTTTCATTGGCTGTGGTTGTGCAAAGTCATTTCGGAAAGGAAGTTCCATGGAACTGAGATTGGTCCTGCTTTGTTTGACGCTGGAGGCCTGCGACCCACAGTGGTGGTCGTGAATGCAGCGGGAGGCGGTGGAGGAGCGCCGCATCTTCTGGTAATTGTCCAATTCTTCTGACAAGTCTGCCAGGTCTGTAGAAATCTCTTTGTCCCTTAATGAAAACAGTTCATAATGAGGAGGATCAAACACTTCTTGGAACCCGGTTTTATTAAAAGCAGTTTTGCAAGCCATGACCTTTTTTCGAGGCTGTTTCACTTGTACTAAAATAGAAATAATGAGAAGGACCAAGACAATCCCTGAAGTAATGCCAATAATTGTCCCATGAGTTTTAGTAATTTGCTCAAAGAGTCCTGCTTTTTTCTTTTCTGTAGAAAGAAAATGAGAAATTTTAAGTTTTCAAAATACATTAATATGAATCCCAGTACAAATTAGTAAGGTATTTTTAGGTAAAGCAGAATACTTGGGCCAAATATACTATAGACAATGCATTTACAATTAGATTTTTAAACAAAACAACTCTATTATAATTTATTGTTCAAGTTACCAACCATAGTATAGATAGACAGAATACAGAAAAGATAAAGTTCATGGTCCCATTCTTCAGAAGACACAGAAATGCACACATTCTGCAAATCAAATCAAATACATAAATATAGACTATGCCAAATAAATACTTTTTTTTCTATCAAGTTTAGCTTTCTGCTTTATGATAGGTTTGCCCAACTGCCATGTTCAGGTATACCCACATCTACTGATGACCCCAGGGAGAGCAAACTAACATCATCAGACTAACCTACCCAGTATATTATCTGATCTACTGTTTTTGAATGATTGCCTGAAAACACTTCATGTCAAGTATTTATGACAGCCATATCAGATTTTATCACCTTTTCACAGTAAGATATTTACTGAACTCTTAAACAGCCAGGGTCCCCACCCCTTGGCCATAGACAGGAACTGGGTTGCACTGCAGGAAGTGAGCAAAGGCACAGACAGGAACTGGGTCGCACTGCAGGAAGCACTGCAGGAATTAAGTGTATGTGCTGCCGCTCCCCCAATCACTGGCATTACTTGGAGCTCTGCCCACTGTCAGATCAGCAGTGGCATTAGATTCTCACAGGAGCAGGAGCCCTATTGTGAACCGTGCATTTGAGGGACATAGGCTATGTGCTCCTTAGGAGAATCCAATGCCTGATGATCTGTCACTGTCTCTCATCAGCCCCAGACGGCACTGTCTAGTTGAAGGAAAACAAGCCAGGGCTCACACTGATTCTACATTATGGTGAGTTGGATAATTATTTCATTATAGACAACATAATAATAATAAAGTGCACAATAAACATAACGTGCTTAAATCATCCTGAAACCAACCCTCCTGACCCACCCCTGTTCCATGAAAAAATTGTCTTCTATGAAACCACTTATTGGTGCGATAAAGGCTGGGGACTGCTGTCTTAGAGGATAAGAGGTAGATCACTTTTAGTTCTGAGACAGTCATCTGACAACCAGCTTGCAGACATTCAACCATTACTACAAGCTGCATTTATCTTTCAGTGAGTACACACTGGGAATACAGCATAGGAAATGTGAAATTAAAAAAAGCAGTTCATAGAATGTTTCTGCTTTTATGTTGTAAGACTGAATCTGCAAGTTGATTTTTATTAAAGTGTTTCACATAATGCAGGCTAACCTCTAAATTATTTTGACAACTAAATAATGTAAGACTGAATCTGCAAGTTGATATTTATTAAAGTGTTTTCACATAATGCAGGCTAACCTCTAAATTATTTTGACAAGTAAATAATGTTTATAATACAAATGACAAACTTCAACAACAGTAGCAAAATAAGGGCAAGGCATACCACCATACACTTTTTTTTTCTGAGACACAGTTTCACTCTTGTTGTCCAAACTGGAGTGTGATGGCGCAATCTCAGCTCACTGCAACCTCTGCCTCCCGGGTTTAAGCGATTCTCCTGTCTCAGCCTCGTGATTGGTGTGATTATAGCCATGCGCCACCACACTTGGCTAATTTTTTTGTATTTTTAGTAGAAACAGGGTTTCACCATGTTAGCCAAGCTGGTCTTGAACTCCTGACTTCAAGTGATCTGCCCGCCTTGGCCTCCCAAAGTGCTGGGATTATAGGCGTGAGCCACCGCCCCTGGCCATAATACACTTTTGACATAATACACTTTTGAACAATTTAACAGTTTGTAGACAAAAATGCTTTTGTTTGGAGTAATTTTCTTTGCTTTCACCACATCCCAGGTCTATAGTCCATTTAAAAGAACATTTAGATGTTTCCATTTCTGCCAAAGCAGCTATGCTAAGCACTGTTGCAGAAAATAACATTTTAAGTCTTTCCTAATGAAGGGCAATAGTTACTCTTTTCTCAAAAAGGTTGGCCTTTACACCAAACTCACCTTTACAATGATTTTCATCCCAAGGGTATGCACAATTTTGGACACCATTACAGACTAAAGAATTATTGATGCACATGTTGCTATGGCAAAAGAAAGTGCTGCCCGTGCAGGGAGCTGCAGGAAGAGAAAACAGTGTTGCAAAGAGCAGGCATAACACCCGATTTTGATTTATTTTATACATAACAAATCCAACTTTATAAGAGTACTTTCTTACTTCAAAGGCCTTTCCTTGAATCAACTCTGTACTATTCAAACAGTAAGACAAATGTCAATATTCTCTGATGCTGGCTCATTCAAACTTTTTCTTATGCTAGGCCCCAAAAGGTCATTTTTAATGAAATGGTAACATGAATGCATTTCTAATGGTTCTTATGGAACCAGTATACAATCTGGTAAATTTTTTCTTCAAAACTTTAAAAGACAATGTTGGCAAGGATGTGGAGACACTGGAACCTTTCTGTACTGCTGGTGAGAATATAACATGGTGCAGCTGTTATGGAAAATTGTCTGGAGACTCCTCAAAAAGTTAAGCAGAATTACCTTATGATCCAGCAATTTTACTTTTAGCTATCTACTCCAAAGAACTGAAAGCAGGAACTCAGTTACTTGCATAGTTCACAGCAGCATTATGCACAATACGCAGAAGGTGGGAACAAACAAAATGCCCATTGATGGGTGAATGGATAAACAATGTGGCATCTACAAGACAATGGAATGTGATTTGGTCATAAAGAAATGAAATTCTGATACATACAACAAGGACGAAGCCATATATTTCACTTAGCATAATTTATAGTTACATATTAATTGTCGTATGAAAAATACCGTATGATTCCACTTACTGAGGTACCTAGAAGAGGCAAATCCATAGACACAGAAAGTAGAAGAGGTTACCAGGGGCCAGAAAGAGGGAGGAATGGGGAGGTGATGTTTAATGGGTGCAAAGCTTCAGTCTGGGAAGACAAAAAAGTTCTGAATATAGATAGTGGTGATGATTGCACAATAATGTGAATTAATGTTAGTTACTTAATGCCACTGAACCGTATAGTTAAAATGGCTAAAATAATACATTTTGTTAAGCATATTTTTCCCATAATAAAAAAAAAAATCCACTCTTCTGAATTCAAAAAAAAATTTTTTTTAAATGTCAGGGAAAGGAAAGGCAACCTTATTTTTTATTTAATTTGTACGTATGTATGTATTTTTTTGGCGGGAGACGGGGGAAAGTCTCCCTCTGTCACCCAGGCTGGAGTGCAATGGCATGATCTTGGCTCACTGCAACCTCCGCCTCTCAGGTTCAAGCGATTTTCCTGCCTTAGCCTCCCAAGTAGCTGGGATTACAGGCGTGTGCTGCCATGCCCAGCTAATTTTTGGTATTTTTAGTAAAGATGGGGTTTTCCGCTTTTAACTAGGATGGTCTTGATCTCCTGACCTCGTGATGCACCCATCTTGGCCTCCCAAAGTGCTGGGATTATAGGCGTGAGCCACCGTACTTGGCCAAAAAAATTGTTTTAAAGACACTAAAGGTATATGGAACATAAGCCATGTAATTTCCTACTTGTTTACGTTGTTCTTTCAGCCTGGAATGGTTCTTTGTTTCTCATTGTAGTGGCCACCTACTCATCTTTCAGAATCATCTCAAATGTTACCATCTGTGAAAATCCCCTTACTTCTCCTGGGCAGCCAGTCGCTCCTGTGTGTTCCTGTCACACTCCACATACTCCTAGGTGGCACTTCCCCTTGTGTGTGTAAACCTTTGTTAGAATGGATTATTATTATCAATGTGTTTACTTCTGGTAGAAACTAAACTCCTAGCTTGGAGGGAGGAGTCCAATAGAGTAGTATTAAGTATTTCAGTGTAAAGAAACAAACAAGACATCTGAAAGTCAAGAAGTGAGACAGCTTACTATCTTCCCATTCAACAAGATTATAGTATGACAGAAGCCCAAAAACCTTCGCAATTTTTTTTCTCACTCTCACTCTGTTGCCCAGGCTGGAATGCAGTGGCGCCATCTCAGTTCACTGCAACCTCCACCTCCCAGGTTCAAGTGATTTTCCTGCCTCAGCCTCCCTGACTAGCTGTGACTACAGGCACGTGCCATCACACCCAGCTAATTTTTGTATTTTTCAGTGGAGATGAGGTTTTTACCATTTCGCCAGGCTGCTTTCAAACTCCTGACCTTAAGTGATCTGCCTGCCTCAGCCTCCCAAAGTGCTGGGATTACAGGCATGAGCCACTGTGCGTGGCCCAAAACTTAAGTTTTGACTTCTAAAATTGTAGCTGGACAAAATGTACTTCCTGTCTAAAAGATTCTATACTTTTGATTTTCAGAAAATATTTGCTACATCAAGGAAGGAGAATCGAATATTGCTCTATATTATGCTGACATACCTCAAATATTTTTTCTATTTTCTTTCAGGTTTTTCAAGATATAATTAGTATCTAAAATTTTACTTGACTAATAATATTTTTTTCTAAATATTATCTTCCTCTTAATAAATATGTAACACACTAATTTTTAAAATAGCTGCGAGTAATATTTTTTCCCCTCCAAAAAGAAGACTCTTTAGAGAGCAGTCATAGAAGTTTGGAGTATCTAACCACATTCTCCAATTGCAGTATATTATCAGTAATAAAATTGATATTTTTTTCATCCATATGCCTTACATACTCTATTTCTCAATGGGCTGTGAACATGGGCTGGAAAAACAGGCATTTATTAGGTACCTAGATAACTCCGAAACATAATCTGACAAATGTAGGTCCATAGTGAATATCCAAAATTGCTTTGCTATTAAGAGTATGACCATAATCTCTTTAAGCAGAATCCACTAAATGGTATGATTCACCCAAGTTTCAGTACAACAGGTTAAAAGTCTAGTCATTATGAACTAGGGTTTGCTTATAGCCTTCCCGCTCCTCACTGTAAGCCAACCTGCAGTTGAGTTTAGACTCTTTCTCTATATACAGCTCAACAGTCTTCACACTAAACTGTTAAGCTTATTCACCTGTGGAGTACTCAGCCGCTGCAGTTCAAGTATGAGAACCCCTTGGTGGCTGACATGACTGAAGAGTCCACAATAGCTATGAACAGTGAAGGAACTTGGGAAATAGTACCATGCAGCAGAAAGTAGAAAAAACAACAAACTGGTAATCAATAAAAATAATTTCTATTGTCATTTAGTCCACATATTTTAAGATACTTACTCTCCTTGGGCCTCAGCTTCCTCTTTTAAAACAAAGGGGATGGAATACGTGTCTCTCAGACTTCTGGCACTAAAATTTGATGAGACTATGCAATTAGTGGTCTCAATCATGATACTTCTGTTTTACATTAAATGCAAATGATGTATATATCTAATAAGTAATTTATCCAGAGACTGTTAACCTGTCAAAATGGTATCACTAAAACCATTAAAATAACTACTTCATGATTCTTAGATAACATTGATGGTTCCAAGGCTCATCAGAAAGACAACAGGTGTCAGTTACACAAACATGCCAGACTGAAGGCAGGGGAGCATCTGGTGGTGTTTTATTCACTTTACAAAATTAGCTAGTGCACCTACTTTTGTTTGTCAAAGATATCATAAAACTGTATTATACAAATGGGGGCACTGAATAATATTAAAAAATGGCCAAGAGAAACATACAGTATTTTTGATTTCCTCATTTTTACAAACTGGAGTTGCCGTTTTTATTTATGTACCACACTGTAATTCTATTACATATGATATAATTGCATATTATATTCTATCTAGTTCACAAAAAGGTGATGTAGGAAGGATAAATCATTTTCAAGACAAGCTGAATGAGGTAATAAACAGCACTGTGGCTCCTTGGCATTCAGATTTCATGTATAAAACTATCATTAAGTTTTAAGGTTTATCTACAGAACAATATGTGACCTCCACTTTGACGGCTCTTTATAACTTCCAAGGTGGCTTTAAAGACAGGTTTGCTGCTCTGTGTTCATCACTGATTGAGCAGTGTGAGGAAAATGTCCTCAGTTTTTATTATAAATTCTTTACAATGTCTCTCCATATTATTTAAAGCAATTAGAAAACAGCACTGATACTGTCAGATTTTGTTTCACAGAAATGTGAGTTATATTTATATTTATAATTACACCCACATTAAGCTTTATGGCTTTTGTGGGTAAGCATGGCTGGTGGAAATGGGAGTCAAGCATCAGTTACTGATATGGAATGTTAATGGTATACTTCAATTCAAATAATCAAATGATTAAACTAACCATCTTTATATAAATAAAAGATAGCAAAAACAGTGCCAGTTATGAACTGGACTCCACTTACAGCCTGAGGACTTTCTACTTTCTGCCGTTCCGCACTGCTGGGTCATGGTGTGAAAAGGAAGGGGAGGGCTGGGATTTTATGTCCACCCCAATTTCGATGAGATGTGGCAATAATGCTGAAAGACGGCTGTCCTTCAGCGAAGCCTGCAGGGGTCCCGCGGACAGTATGCCACCGAAAATCACATTATGGGTTTATTCTGACAAAATATCTGCTGCTGCTTTCACAGTTCTAGTCCTAGAAATTATTTTCTTAAAACTGTATCTTTCTTAAAGAGTGAGGTATATATTAGTATTCAGTGCCTGGGAAGAAGCCAAATATATCCTGATTGCTATTCTGTATCATCTATTTTAGCAAAATTATTCTATTTCAGTTATATCTGCAATCTACAATGGGTAGGCATGAAGTGAATCTCTCATGCAGAATTGGCCCATTTATATAAATCTCTTCTGAAATACTAATTGTTTCCATGGGTGAAATCGTAGCAATTACAAATCACTAACAGCTTAGAGGAGAACAAATGAAATAGTTCAATAATTTGAATTAATGATAAACATGAAAAAATTTACTAATTGTAGCTCTGAAATTTGCTTTCCAAATGGAGGTTTTTCAAGCTGCCTCTTGTTTTTAAAAAATGCTGTTAAATCCCTAATTTTAATCATACAAGGGGTGGCTTTCTTCTTGTTCTTGGGTAATACAGCTAAATTTGGGATATAAAGTTAAATCTATTGCAGCCTTACAATTTAACCTTATTCTTACATTCGGTGATGAATTAATATAAAGGTATCACTTGAGGCAGG